TCCACTCAACCTCGGTTTGGAAGCATAGCTTAATTTAGTTCAGTGTCGTCATCTGACAAATATAGAAACAAGGAAAGGGAAGTAAGTTGTTCAGGGCCGTACAGTGAGTGGCCTGTTTCTGTACATGAATTTGTAGACGTGTATGTATGTAAAGCTCCTGTGGGAGAAGAGAATGAGTTGAGCATCATTTTGACAGGGATAAAGTCTAATAACTTCACAAAGCTTGGAATTATTAGATGGGACAATGGCCTGGTAGAGAGTGGAGCCCATACCCAAGTGGTTCCTGGTGTGAATGCTGTTCTGGCACTCGCCACCAGAGGGCATGAACCATGACTAAATTGTAGACCTGCTGATCTGCGGCGAAGTCCAGAGCGTCCTCAGGTCAAAGTTTGTTTAAACAGCTGGATCCTAACTCACTCAGTGTCCCATCGTCTTGGGAATATCTAGAAGCTCTTTATAACTGGTTCTTTATAAATATTTTTTAAAAGAAATCCTAGGTAAACAAACACAGAACACTTGTAGCATGCCTGGGTTTAGAATTAAAGAGACCTGGCCTTATCATATTAGCTCAGCCACTTATAAGTTTAGTTATGTGGCCATTGATAAGTTGCTCTTCCTTGACTTTTAACCTTGAACTTCAGTTGCCTCACCTGCTAGATCATTCATAAACTCTGCCACACCGGGGTTTAGTGAATATTAAATGGAATAACAAAGTATCCATCAATTCTTGATAACCTTTTTACTAAATGAACATTTTTCCTTTGTTCAGTAAGACTCTCATGGAGTTTATATTCTAGTTGGAAAATGCATACACATTACAATGAAAAAAGAAAGGAAATTCAGACAACAGTGAGGGCTAAGGATAAATAAAAGGGAGCAGGATTTAGAAGGCTATTCTAGGGAAAATGGTCTAAGAATGCCTCTCTGAGATGATATTTCAGCCAAGAACTAACAAAGATTTGAGAAAAGGGAGGGTGTTTGAGGCAGAGGGACATAGCTTGGAGTGTCTGAGGAACAGAAAGATCAGGGAATGGGGTGCAGAGGAGTGTCAGGAGATGAATTATGAGAAGTAAGCAAGTTCCAGACCATGTAAGCCTTGTTAACATACCTGAAGACCGTAGATTTATTTAATGGGATGTAAGCGTAGCAGTGATACGATCTGATTGATAGTTTTTTTAAAAAAAATACAAACATACCATAGAGAGGCAAAAGTAGAGGCAGAGAGTCCAGCTAGAAAGTTGTTTGAGCATTTTAGGTACAGTGAGATCAGAGGTGGTCATTGGTTGTTGAGAAATCTTGAATGGTGAGAAGATGGTTTGAAGATGCACACGCTATCAAGCCTTGCTGACTAATTGTATTTGAGGGGTGCTAGAAAGGAAGGAATCCTAGGTGATTTTTAGGCCTTTTGATCTCAGCCACCTGGATTTAAATAAGTGATGCCATTAAGTGAGATGAGATGACAGGAGAAAAGAGCAAGTTGGGGGCAGGCAGCAAATCCAGAGTTCTGCGTGAGACTTAACTCGTTTTGAGACCTCTTAGCGTGCAAGTAGACTTACGGAAGAAGGCAGTTGGAAATCTGAGCATGACACTCAGGGCAGGGATTTAAGCTCAGGATATAAATTGGTAGTTCTGTTTGCCAAGAGGAGACTGGAGACCAAGAAGAGGAGAATGGGTGGCTGAGCACCGAGGTGCTCCCATTCTCAAAGGTTGGGATTTCTGACCCATCTGTTCTTTTCCTCACAAGCACCTCAGGCCACTGCTTAATTTGAGGAGATCCTCAAATTACTATTTTTATTCTTCTCTAACCTCTTGCACAATTTTATGACCCAAACGCCTTTTACCAGTGAAAACGCTACGGCAGGGTGAGGGTTGAAATATTTGAAGACCTTAACTTGCTGATTGATAATGAAGGTTCTAGAGACAGAGGACTTGGGCTTAAATCCTGCCTCTGCTATTTACTAGCATAATAACCTCAGATATTTTACTTCATTTCTCTCAGTATTTCCATCTATAATGGCTAGCATTTATCTAACACTTGTTATATACCAGGCTGGGTTTTAAGTTTTTTACATGTCTTAACCTATTTTATATTTAATTTTTTTAAAATTTTTATTTATTTATGATAGTCAGAGAGAGAGAGAGGCAGAGACACAGGCGGAGGGAAGAGAAGCAGGCTCCATGCACCGGGAGCCCGATGTGGGATTCGATCCCGGGTCTCCAGGATCGCGCCCTGGGCCAAAGGCAGGCGCCAAACTGCTGCGCCACCCAGGGATCCCTGTCTTAACCTATTTTAATCCTTAGAACAACCCATTGAGCTAGTTACTGTTTTTATCCCACTTTATTGTTGAAGAAACTAAAACCAGAGAGAGGTTTTTATAATTTGCCGTTAAGTTGCACATCAGGTAAGTTAAGTGACAGAGCTAGATTTGAATCGAGGCAGCCTGGCTCCTGAACTTCCCTGGCTACTCTTCTCATAGCTGATTCACAGAGTTGTAGTAGTGATTAAATGAGGTGTAACCCACTTAAAGTGCATAGCACATAGAGCCTAGCATATCATATGTGCATAATAAATGTTTTCTTTGGAAGGTAGCATAGTGTAATGAAAGAGGAGCAAATGAAAAGTCCTAGGGGTCCAGCCTGATTCTACAAGAGCAACTTATGTGACCAGAAATAAGTTTCTTAGCCTCTCTGGACTTTAGTTTTATAGTCTGCAACATAAAATCTTTTTACTATATGGTCTCTGAGGGCCCTTTCAATATTAAAATGCTATCTGTGACTGCCTGAGACAGATTATGGATACATTTTAATTTGGCCCCACATCACCTTGGGGGTTGGGGAAATAAGGTGCCTCAGCAATTCTTTGGTTTAATATCATTTCTGTGTTGCCCTGCTACTCTCGCTAGGAGGTAGTAAAACAGAATAGTTAGAAACCCTGAGGTCTAAAGTAAGACTGTCATATGTTGGCAATCTTCATCACTTACTACTTTGGACAAGATATTTATCTTGAGTTTCCGTTTCATCTTCTGCAAACTAAAGGTAATAATAGTGCATACCTTGTGGTATTATTTCAGATATCCAGAAAGAAATTGCATGTGAAGAATTTAACATGTAGTAAGGAGTCAATACGTATTAGGCCTGAATTTCTGAAGAAATTTAAATTTAATTTTTTTTTTTTTTTTTTTTTTTTTTTTTTTACCCTGATCAAAGGAAAAGTAGTCAAGACTCCTTTGGCTGTGAATGCAAGAACTCAACTCACACCAAGTTAGAGGAGGAGAAAAGGAGGACAGAGGAATTACTAACTCTATATAACGAAGAAGTTAAGGTCAGCTGCTGAGTGTGTTTGGACACAGGATTTTAAACACTCTCATGGCTCCCTGCCTCTTGCTCTACTTTGGCTTTATTCTCAGTTATGTTTTCCATTTAGCAGTGCCAAGCCAAAGACTCTGATCTGACATGCCTATGGTGTCAGAAAACAGTTGACCCAGCTTGGGTCAACTTTGTGTGGGGCAATCTGGTGCCCTCAAATGGCATGATTTTCTACTCCATGGCCAGGTTGGTAGAGTCATGCCATAGACATCAAATCACATACGGTTTTTCCAGAGGGGAAAAAAGACTAGGCAAGCAAAGAAGTAAACAATAGCACTTTTAGATGAAGTGATAGGAACGTCGGCATTGCAGTCAACATTGTTGATATCAATGAGTTCTCCTCACCGTGGGCAGCTCAGTTTAGCCTAGCCAGCTTTGAGATGTAAAGTTTAAATCAAATGGGGTAGTAACTCTCTTATTTCTTTTTTTCTCTCTTTTCATGACCTCCTCCTCAGTTATAGTCATTAATTAATACTTAATCCCCAAAGCGGATTCTTCCTTTTTCATTTTACCTGCATGCTGATAGTTTAGCATAGTCCATAGTGTGGACTTAAGGGACTGGGTTTCACAGTCTTTCTTATTTGCTCACTTCGAAATCTTAAGAAGTTTATTTTATATCTCCCTTCTTGTCTATTAAATGAGGATAATATTTACTTCCTTGGGTTGTCTTGAGTAGGCGGTCTATGGAAAGTGATCAGCACAGTGTTGTGCACACAGTAGGCTCCTCAGTAATAACAGTTGTTGTTATTTCCAGCCCTGCAGCTTTGATGCAGCCTGTCTGTTCTTCTGTCAGGGATGGGAAAGCTGAGGGCAATGGGGAGACTCTCAAAAAGCACTAGTTTTGAATATCTCAGAATAGAGAGTTGGAGCCAAAGAGAAGGAAGCATTCGGAGCTCTAATTGGAAGACCTAACTATTATAACAATGAAAGACAATGGACAGTTAATCTCTCTGGGCTTCTTTTTACTCTTTTGGAAAATGAGTAAAAATCTTCGTTATTGTCTGATCCTTAATTGTTTAAGTAAAAATGAATATCAGAAAGTGTTTTGTACTCTGTGTTTTTTCTGTGTGTGTGCGCATGTGAGAGAGAGAGAGAGAGAGAGAGAGAGAGAGAAAGGAAGAGAAAGTGAGAAGGAGAAATAGTGAGTTAGTTTATATTGAAATAAACCAAAAATATTTACTGATATATTGGGTGTATCGGTTCACATATTTGATTTATTCTTAAGATGTTATCCTATCCCCTTTCACACTTTACTGTCTAGATCATTTCTAAGTATTGGTTAATCTTATCTCATCTATTTTGGACTTTTCAAGAAAAGCTTTATAGACATCATAATACATATTTTATAATACTTGTCATAGAGTCAGAAAAGTTTATTGAGGACTTTGTTCCACTGCTTACTCTGCAACATTACCTTGGGCAAGTTACGTTCCCTCTCCCGTGCCTCATTTCCTCGGCTGTCTAATGAGGCATTTCTTCTATTTAACCTTTAAGTCCTTTCCTAACAGTCTGTGATTCTGTAACTATCACAGCATAGGTTGTGGCAGGAGTAGCTGGATTGCCAAGGGAAAACTTAATATCACCAGTCCCTTTGAAACATATTTTTTATCTGTTGCCCATTATGTTTGCTGCAGGGTTTCGGCTGAATGCCTCCTCTTGGCCCATGTTCCTTTTGAAGACACTAAATGGAGCAGAGATGGCTCCCATCAGGATTTTCCACAAGGTATGGTGTCCTTCAGTTATCACCACTTGCTTAACGTCACATGATTCCATTCTTGCATTTTACTAAGCCCCTGATGTCTACTTTGTATTTATGGCCTGAGGATGCCTTTTCAGAAACTAGTTCAGTGGGAGGATTTTTTAGTATCTTAGGAAGCAGCAATTATCCCTGGAGGAAATTTCACTATAAGTCAGGATTCCTGGGGTTTGGGTCCCAGCTCTGCCAATAATAATCAGTGCCCTTTTGTCATCATCTATAAGTGGGATTCTGTCCCACAGGGTTGTTAAGAAGTTAAAATGTGTTTATCAGTAAAACATATAAAATATAATATAAATCTGAAGGAGCTATTCTTATCCTAGATCTTGGAATTCCCTAAGGTCCATATGCTAAACAAAGAGGAAGGAGACTATTTTTTGAATGTCTACAGTATGTTTGGAATTGATATACACCATCTCATTTAATATCCACAGTTAACTTTCTGAAGCAAGAATTACAATTTTCATTTAATAATTAAGGAAACAAATAAAGCACTGAATAAAGAACTTGCCCAAGATCACATGGCTAGTAGGGTGGAACAGGGATTAAAACCTGTATCCATTCTTGCTTGTTTTTCAAGGCATGAAGCAATCAGTCTGCTCTCAGCTGAATTATTTAATGAGGTAGAGGGGACTGAATTAGCATTCATGTGCTGCTAGTAAAGTCTAAGCCCTAAGAGCACTATATGGTTACCAGAATATATAGTGTACTGGGCAAATTAAAAACCCTTTCACTACAGAATATATCAAAATGGTGGGGTGGGGTTGGAGGGACCAACAAATACTCTTTTAAATGCTTTGTCAAGCTATCAGAAAGGTAGAAAACTCTCCAGAGGCCAGAATGAAGGAGAACCAGAGTTAAATGTATGTAGTACATCTGTAGATGCCTTAAGGGGCATTGCCAGTCTTACTTTCTAAGGATCTAGTCTTTTAACAGCCATAGTAGGATAGATGAGCACTTGGGCCCATGCAAGGCAGGGAAACAGCCCTGAGACTACCATGTAGACCACCAGATCAGGTCCCTCAGCTGGTAACTCCTTAGTGGAAGGACTGTTAACACTGGCAAGGGAAGTCTCCACCGGGGTTCTAGGGAGGGGTGAAAATGGAGTCACTTTCTCCAATAAAGCAGTCTTCGCCCATGCCGGTCCATGGTTCAGATATAGTGCCTGTGTTGTCTGGGAACTTCAGAGGTGTATGGAGATATTTCTGAGTGCCTACAGAAGCAAACCCAAAGCCTCTCTACATGGTTTGGTTGCTTTCAACCCTATGTCCTAGAAGTCCCAAAAGTGAGGCACCCCTGAAAATGAGAGTTCATTTCAGAATTCCAGAGCCCTCAAAAACTCTTGAAACAGATCCAACACAATGGGACATCAGTAGGCCCAACAAGCAGTAAGGCTATAAACCCAAGGACTTTCAGATAATAGAGATATCAGATAGAGATTATAAATTCAGTATTTAAAAATAAAGAATGAAAAGAGGGAATTTAAAAATTTGAGAGAAATACAAAGCCCTATTTCCAAAAATATTTGAAAATAAGCAAATTGAATATCTAGAAATGAACTTAATGATTAAAAGAACAAATTAATGAGTAGGAATATAAGAAACTAGGACTTCTGTGAAGAATTAACTGAAAGACATGTGTAACGATTTTCTCCAGAATGCAGTGCAGAGAGATAAAGAGATGGAAAATATTAAAGAGAAAAGACAGAATAGTAGAAGGTCCAATATATGCTGAACATGAACTTCAGAAAGATTAGTAAGAAAGATAGGGAAGAGTCATATTCAAGAAGGTATTAACCGAGTTCTCCAGAGTGTGTATTAAGCATGAGTATGTTTTAAAACATCACAAAATGACTGAAGTCCGAAGAAAAGATCTGAGCAAATAATCACACAGAACACCTTCCAGAGGATTCCTGGTCGGCTGGCAGCGCATCTCCTGACAGCAGTACAAGCCAAAAGATATTAGAACAGTATTTTCCAAGTACTGAGAAAAAATTACTGTCTACCTACAATTTTATATCTACCTATGTTATTTCAAAATGAATGTAAAATCAAAACATTTCCAAACAAACTAATACGAGTAACTGCTAACATAGATGCAGAAAGAACAACAAAATATATTTCAGGAAGTAGGTGAGTGAGCTCAGAAAGTAAGAATGGAAGAAGTAGTGGTGAGGAAAGATTGCTTAACATGTGGGTAAACCTAATCAAGCATTGCCTGTAACTATATAAACTAAATATAATGACAGTGTGGAACTAAATTATCAAACACCTATTAACTCAGGAGTAGGTAAAATAAAGTCTTTATATTGTTTGGGACTGTACATAAAGATGAGCTTAGATTTAATTATGTCAACTATACAGTTACAATCTTAAGGGGATCCACTGAAAGAACTATAAAGAAAATGATTAACATCTGAACCAATGGAGAGGTGGAAAGGAAAGAAAATTCAATTTATTGTAAAGGAACCTGGAAAAATCACGTTACATAGAAATCTAGGCAATATGATAATTGTAATAAATTTAAATACATCAGTTATAAAAAATGAGCTTAAACTCATCAGTTCAGAATACATTAGATTGTTCTTAAATCTAGCTACATGCTATTTACAAGAGACACTGCTAAAATATGATACCAAAATGTTGGAAGGAAAAGAAAACACCAGGAAAATCTTCATCAGAATGAAGCCAGTCCTAACCATACTGACATTAGGCAAAGGAGACTTTGCTAGTGAAAGACATTCTAAAGAGGCCGCCATCTAATTAAAAAAATACATGCTTCTGAAAAACAGTGCCTCAGATATGAAAGCAAAATTTGACAGAATTTGGACAAATTGGAAAATCCACAATTGCTACGGGATATATTGGTACAGGTCTCTCATTAATTGATAAATCAGGTAGATGAGGAAATTGATATATCAGCATAAGCTACTCAGTACTAAATTGGCTGATGCATTTTTAAAAATCAGTTGCATTGTTATTTAACAGCAACAAGTGGTTGAAAATAAAAATTTTAGAAGAAAGCAATAAAATTGTAATATGCCTAGAAAAATGTTAGTAAAAAGCATGAGATATTTGTGGAGAAAATGTTTAAATTCATATTAAAGAAGAAATCTACATTAAAGAATACTTAATAAATGGAAAATACTGTCATGTTCATAGATGAGAATGCTAAATATTATTTTTACAAAGGTTTCTTCCTAAATCTATAAATTCATTAGGATTCCAGTCAAAATCCAAATAGGGGTTTTCTATGGACTTAAAAAGCTGATTTTTTGAAATCACCTCTTATATGAAAGATCATAAGAAATTCATGTGAAAGATAGTAATAGCCAAAGCCATACAGAAAAAAATAACAAAGTAGGGGACTTTTTCTCCCAGATACCCATTTTGTAAGACAGTATTATTGGTGCAGGATCAGAGTCTAAGTATAGGGAAAGAATAGAGTGTATAGTACTTTTTGGGAACTTTATCTTTGGAACTACATTGCAAATTCACACTGCTGGAGAAAGTGTGCGATGTTAAAACCACTTAAGAGGGCAATTTGACAATATTTTAATAAAGTGTAAAATGTATATATCAGTCCTATAACCTAGCAATTCTGCTCCTACAGTAACCCTCCCCATGTGTGTAGAGGAACAAGTACAAGAATGGTCATTAAAAATCTTGAAATAGTGAACAGTTAGAAAGAATCTTAAATGTCCATCAGAAGAGAATGAATTAGTAGTGGTATATACATATAATGGAATACTATTAGCACTTAGCATTTATCAACAGAGATAAATTTCAAAAACATAATGTTACCACCAAAAAAAGTTGTAGAATATGTACAGTATAATATCATTTATATGAAATTTTAAAGTGTGTAAATGGATGTATGTGTGTGTCTATATATATATGTATGTATATATAGTAAAATAGGAAAACATGCATGAGGCATGGGCACAAAAGGGATTGAACTTTATCGGTTACCTTTTATTTCTTATAAGTCTGAATCAAAAGTGGTAAAATGTTAGGACTTAAGTAATACTTCGGTACCCTTTGAAATTCAAAACTTTAAATATTTTAAAACTAAGACTAAACCTTCGTGATCAGTCTTCAAGAGCAGCCAGTCACTTTGTCATCATCCAAATATGGTGACAGTCTTTTGGCGTACACAGCCTCTGTCTTTGCCTCTAGGTTTGCATATTTCTGTTTCTCATCTAGGAACCACCATCGCCTTCCCACAACTTCTTCAAAATGGGAATGAAGCTAGAAGCTGTGGACAGGAAGAACCCTCATTTCATTTGCCCAGCCACTATTGGGGAGGTGCGGGGCTCAGAGGTGCTTGTCACTTTTGACGGGTGGCGAGGGGCCTTTGACTACTGGTGCCGCTTCGACTCCCGGGACATCTTCCCTGTGGGCTGGTGCTCCTTGACTGGAGACAACCTACAGCCGCCTGGCACGAAAGGTAAAGGCTCATGTGAGCTCTTGAAATCAGTACCCAAGTCGGGAAGGGGGATTGTCTGAATCTCCCATAGTCAGCATCTCTTCAGTAAACCTCACCAGTAGGCAACTGAGGTAAAAACCAAGGTCTACCAGAGAGTAATTAGAAACAATAAGAATTAAATATCAAAGGAAGCTAGACGTGGAGTTTGGGATAAAGTAAACGTTCTTTGCTCTAGAGATCCTGGTTTATTCTCAGGCACCCAGCCTTTCCTCTCTGTGACTTTGGTTCCTGGCCTGTTTCAGAGTTTGAGTAGTATTGTCTCAGGGTGCACTTCTGTCTTGGGTCTCAGCTTTGTATATGAGCTGAAGTATCACCGTGTCATCAGAACACTTGAGAAGCATTGTAGCACAGTGGGAAAAGCGTGAGTTTTGAGACCTAGGTTTGAGTCCCAGCTCTGCCTTTTCTTCACCAGCTGTGTGGCTTTGGGCACCCTCTTTAAACCTCAAATTCCTTGTCTGTAAAAGAACAAATGCTTCATAAAGTTATTGTGAGGAATAAATGAGATGATGTGGGTAAATGCTTATCTACTATCTGGCAGATAGCCAATGCTAAACAAATGTTTTTATTATATTCTGTTATTATTATAGTTATATGCTATATTTCTTATAATTATTATATAATATATATTATGCCACATTATTATTATTATGCTATTATTATAAAAATAACTACTCCCAATGGAAGAGTATATATGAAATACTGGAAGAGTACCACAGGATAGTTAAATAGTAAATTATATTTCTAATGATGATTAGAGTTGGACATCATCCAGGATAGAGTTTGAGGTAGCTGCATCTCATTCCTGAAGTCTAAAAGTACTAGTTAATCTGAGGGAATAGAAAGTCACCCTTCCTGTGGTCTGTCAGTCTCTTTTCTAAACCTCTGTCAATTTCATTCATTCAGGGCACCTGATATTTATTGGCACTTAATTGTGAGCCAGGCTGAGGATACAGCAGTTACAAAGATGAAAAAGATTTCTGCCCTCCTGGAACTTCTGTTCTAGAGGGATGAGATAGCTGATAAGCACTGAAATCAAGAAATAAACAAGCTGATTTAAGATCAGTTTCTCCTTGGGACTAAAGTATGTGAGGTAGTGGCAGTGAAGGAGTGATTGTGAAGGGAGTTTTTGTTTAACAGCTTTAATTGAAGTGTAATTGGAGTGAAACAAATGGCACATATTGTAAGTATGCCATTTGAAAGGTTTTGGCATATGTGTACATCCATGAAACCATGACCATAGTGAAAATAATGAACATATCCATCATGGCCAAAAGTTTTCTTTTTTCTCTTGGTGGGAGGGGGAGATTCGTTAGATAGAGTTTCTTTTCAGGAAAATTTGTCTGAAAAGGTGATATTTGAATTGAATGACAAGAAAGAGCATTCCAAGCAGGGATGGGACACACATACACCCTGGTGCTGAGGCATGAATCAGTTTATGTGTTTCAGGGGCAGAGAGAAGCCTACTCCTACTGTAATGCACTGTGTGAGGAGGAAAGTGGCAAAACCCAGTAGGACCCCAAAAGCCAGAGTGAGAATTCAGATTTTATTCCAAACATAGTGGGAATTGTTAAAGGGCACTATGTAAGGGAATGACAAAATCTGACTTACTTTTAAAGAGTCACTTGTACTTGTATACAGAATTCAACTCAACAATGAAAAAAACTACCCAGTTAAAAAAATGGGCAAAGGGTTTGAATAGAATTTCTCCAAAGAAGATGTATAAAAGGCCAATAAGCACTTGAAAAGATTCTCCAGGTCATTAGCCATTAGGGAAATGCAGATCAAAGCCACAAGGAGATAGTACTTCACACCTGTAGGTATGATCTCACCAAAAGGCAGTAACAAGTGTTGGCAAGAATCTGGAGGAATTGGAGCGCTCATACATGGCTAGTGGGATTGTAAGGTGATACAGCCACTGTAGAAACAGTTTGGAAGTTACTCAAATTGTTAAACATGGGGTTACCTGTGACCCAGGAATACCACTCTTGGGTATACACCCAAGAGATAGAAAATCTTTCCACAGAAAAATATATCGTGGATGTTCACAACAGCATTATTCATAGTAGCCAAAAAGTCGAAGTAGCGCAAGTGTCCATCATGTAACAAACAGACAAATAAAATGTGATATATCCATATGAAATATTGTTGAGCAATAAAAAGAAATAAAGTCCTGCAATATGCTACACCCACAGATATACCTTAAAAAACCTTATTTAAAAAAAAAGCCAATCACAAAAGACCACACGTGGCATGATTGCATTTGTATGGGTTGTCCAGAAGAGCCAAAAATAGACAAAAGTAAATTAGTGGTTGCCAGCAGCTTGAGGGAGAGAGGAAATGGGAAGTGACTTTGATAGGTGCAGGGATGATAAATATGCTCTAAAATTAGATAAGGGTGATACTTGCCATTCTGTGTATCTACTAAAAACACTGAATTATACACTTAAAAGGGGGTGAATCTTATGGTATGTAAAGTATCTATCAATAAAGCTGTCATTTAAAAAATCACTTGGGGGCAGCCCAGGTGGCTCAGAGGTTTAGCGCCGCCTTCGACCCCGGGCATGATCCTGGAGACCTGGGATCGAGTCCCACGTCGGGCTCCCTGCATGGAGCCTGCTTTTCCCTCTGCCTGTGTCTCTGCCTCTCTCTCTCTCTCTCTCTCTCTCTCTCTCTCTCTCTCTGTCTCCTCTCTGTGTTTCTCATGAATAAATAATTAAAATATTTTTAAAAAACAAATAAAAATAAATCACTTGGGCTGCTATGGAGATTGGATGGCGCCATGCTAAGTGGACAGGAAGAGGTGAGGGTTGCTGGAATTAGGTGGGTGGCACTGAAGTTGAGAGACCTTGAGGTGGGGGCAGGCAGGTGGGGAGACACACTTCTTGCCTCAGGAAAGTGCTATTCCTCTCTATGCTTCAAGAAACAAGTGCCCTGAGGTTGCTATGAGAAATCCATTGCTGTCCTTCTGCAAGCCCTGTGAGGCGGTATCTCTGTGGAAGCAGCAAGAAGAGACGTGCCTCGGAGGTGGTAGCGGAGTCATTTTTTGTTTACTTGAGACAAACAGGATAACCCTCAGTGCTCCAGGCTGTGTTCAGTGAGTAGGTTGATTTTCTCACTTTCTTGCATAGAGAATTTTTTATTTTGATCAGCAAATGTCTTAAAGCAATTAGGCTTTTCTCGAAAGCCAGAAATGCTGGGAGCCTCCGTGCCCAGGAGTTGCTGGACGAGCATTCCTTTCTGACTGTATACCATGCTGATAAGCATGACTCACTCTGTGGTTGATGCTTCCAGAGGTGTTTGCTGACTGTTTTCATCCCCTGCTATGTGTCTGTGGATAGCTTCGATTTGTAACAGAAGGTGACCAGGAGGACCAGGCTCAGAAGGTGGAGAGAGACCTTCTTCCACCTTCTGTAGGCATTTCCACAGCGGGTCCTTTGGTCATCATTCCAGCAGCCAGGGCTTCTCCAATGACTCCCTTGCCCCCCTCCTCATGCCCTCAGTAGGTTCTGTAGTGTAGCTTTCAGTAACAGCAGAACTTTAGCCACCTCAGTGTCCTGGCGAGGGAGCAAGTGATCCAATGTGGAAAAAATGTGGTTACTCAATTCATTTCTCAAAACAAGTTGTTCTCTCTGTGTAAGCCTGTTCTCTTTCTAATCATACTGTCTCTTTTTCCCTTTCTACCTTCTAGTCAGTAGTGTGTAAATGTTAAAAAAAAAAAACCCTCAAAGTAATATGAGATAGTTTCTTGCTCACAGTGAGTAGGAAGAAATACCGATTTTATTTAATGTTGTTTTACATGCATTATTTCATTTATATTTCTGGTAACTCTGCAGTAGTATAATTATTCTCAAATACTTTTATTTATGAGAAAAGTGAGGTCCAGAGGATTAAGTGACCTAGTTCTCTTGATAACTGAGTCTAGAGGGAGAAGTCATGGAGATCTTCCAGTAGGGCCAGCTGTTGGGGCTGTTTTGAGTCATATTGCCTTTATGCCCTGTATCCTCCCCATTCTCTTTCAGGCTTTCTTCAAAGCTCCATATGAGATCCTGGATTTTGGCGTCCAGTTCCTGATACAAAATAGAAAAAAAAGTGGTGTTGTATACGATAAGAGCTTTTAAATCGGGTCTCATCCCAACTGGGCCACAAAATTGTCTTATATCTTTGAGCAAGTGATTCCTAATGTGAGAGTTTGAACTAGATGACCCTTGAGGTCCCTCCCACCCTGTGATGGGTGGGTAACAAGTGTCTCCTGTGACTGTCTCCTGATTGGTTCCAGGTCCACACTGGCCTTGGGCTCTGCCTCTCTCAGGGATTCCTGCATGCTGGCTGTTTCTCCTCTGCTAAGAAGTAGTATCCTTATTAGAGTTCCTGAACTCCTGGGGCCCAGCCAGCACTCATAAGCAGCAAATACCAGGCTTGCAACTAAGCCAGGGTGTAGTTGATTATAAAAGGTAGAAGCTTTTTTTTTTTTTTTAACATTGCTTGTGTGTGTGTGACTTAACATAAAACTGAAACAGAGGCAAGCTTTACTCTTTAAATTTTGAAAAACAATGTTTAGTCCACTTGGCATGACTATAATGCTAAATTAGACTTTTCACCATCATAACAATCCACCTAACTCCCCCTCACACTGCTTTCAAGCTGGGCAAGCCCGTTCTAGATTATAGTCTTGAGTTAGCTTCCTGTGCAATTTTACAATAGGAAGAGAACATGAGATACAAGCTATTCCACATTTACATTTTTATTATAAATTAATATATCGCTCTCTGGATTATACTTCACTGTCTTGTGACTTCGTAGAGCTGGGTCCGGCTGCTCTCCATATACTCCCTGGTCTAGAGAGTAAGAATTTGAGCTTAAAAATAAAACTTTAGACTGTCTCTTCCAATTGTTTCTGTAAAATGTTTAAAAAGTATTTCCCATACTTTATGGATGGCCTCTTCATCTTGTAAAACTACATA